GGGGGATGCATCACACGCGATGCACACAGGAAGAGACTCGTTGAAATGTGCAAGAACACTGTTAGAAGTGAGCAAGGCCTTGACTTCTTTAAAGCAAGCCTCATGTGCTTGTGACCACAGCCACACAGCTTGTTTGTCTAGTAGCCTGTGAAGAGGCTCAGCTACACTAGCTTTATGTGGAAGAAAAGAATTGTAGAAATTCAGGAGGCCTAGGAAGGCCTGAAGTTCGGCCTTAGACTTTGGCCTGGGTGCTTGTAAAATAGCAGTTAGTTTGGATTCAGCAGGATGAATCCCAGCAGCATCAATTTTGAATCCCAGAAATTCAGTAGAAGGCACCCCGAATCTTGCATTTGTCTTTTCTGAGCTTGAGGCCTGATTCCCTGAATCTTAACAGGACAGCCCTAAGTCTTTCAGCTAGAATGTGTGTGGAGTCTCCTGCAATCAAGACATCGTCAAAGTAGGGGCAGACCCCTGGTATACCTCGTAGTGTGTTTTCCATTACGCTTTGGAAAATCCCAGGAGCGACATTTACTCCAAACTGTAGCCTTTTTACTTTAAAGGCTCCCCTGTGGGTCACAATGGTCTGAGCTATGGCAGCATCATCATCAACAGGCAGCTGTTGATATGCTTGAGCTAGGTCAAGCTTTGCAAAAACACGCCCCCCCTTGAGAGAGGCCAGGATGTGACTGACCACAGGAACAGGATAGGCATGTTGCTGCAATGCCTTATTGAGTGTGCATTTGTAATCAGCACAAATGCGAATGTCCCCATTTGCCTTTAGAGGCGTGACAATGGGGGTCTCCCACGGGCTGGAATCAACAGGTTCTAGGATTCCCTGTTGGATTAGTTTGTCTAACTCAGTGTCAATCTTACTTTTAAAGCAAAAGGGACCCTTCTTGCTTTAATCCTAATGGGAGTGACAGTGGGGTCTAGCTTTAAGGACACAGGTGGTCCTTTGAATGTGCCCAGCTGGGGGCTGAAAACATCTGCAAATTCTTTGCAGACTTCCTGTAGGTCGAGTGTTTGTAAGCTGTTGAGTCCTGTGACGTGTATCCCCAGGGCCTCAAACCAATCGAGTCCTATGAGACTCGTTCGTTCACCCCCTACTACTAATAAGTCTAGTGGACCTTCAAAACTCTTGTATTGCACGTTAAGGGTGGCCTCCCCCTTAACACACACTCTTGAGTTCTGAAAATCTGTTAATACAATATCAGAAGGCCTTAACTTGGCCTTAGTCCCACTACTGGAACAAATCTTCCTAAATGTATGCAATGAAATGATGGACAGGGCAGACCCTGTGTCTAGTTCCATAGATAATGGAACCCCTTGTAGCTTCACGTTGAGTGACAGCTTTTTCTTCATGGGCTTGTGTGTGCCTGTTCTACAGATGCTTCTTCGCGAAGCGCAAAACCCTACCCTATTCTGGCTGGGGAATCTGGTACCTTTCAGGCGTTCTTCTTGGGGTTGTGCCTTTCGTCGGCTCAGACACACAGCTGCAATATGCCCTTGTTTGCCGCATGCCCGGCAGGTAGCGGAGCGGAACTTGCAGTCGGTTCTCCTGTGGCGACCTCCACAGCCGATGCACTTGAGCGGAGCCGAAGAGCTTCCCTTCTGGTTCTCTTCCTTCGCGGGGTGTAGACGGTCGACTTCCTCGTCCGGATCCTCCTCGGAGTTTCGTCGGACGTCTTCCTGGTGCACGGACGCACCCTCTGCACTGTTTCTGATCGGCCGCATGTTTTTGATGGCGCCGCCTGCTGCTTCTTCTGCGGTGACTTCCCTTAAGGCGTCTTGGAAGGATAATTCTTCCTTGGCAAAAAGTCTCTGTTGTAGCTCTCGATGCCTTAGCCCGCACACGAATCGGTCCCTCAGTCGTTCCTCGAGGTCCTTGAACTCGCAGGGCTTGGCGGCCTTCCGTAGCGCGGCGATGTATTCCTTGGCTGTTTCACCGGACCGTTGATCCCTCTGCTCGAAGGTGTGGCGCCATGAGATAACGGACACCTTGGGGTGGAAGTGCTCTTTCAGCAGCTTCTTCAGGTCTGCGTAGCTTACAGACTCTACTGGAACAGGTGCTGCAAGGTTTTCTGCGATTTCGAAGGCGTCTTGGCCGCAAACGCAAAGCAGGGTGGCCGCCTTCAAGCTATCTTCCCTCACTTGGTTTGCCTTGAAGTAGTTCTCCATTCTGGATACGTAGGACTCCCACCGCTCTGGATGTGAGACGTCGAATTCCGAAAGCCTTCCGATTTTCGCCATCTTCGGATCTTCAGGAGACGGGTCTATCAGCCAGCCTACCCCCGAATGCGCACCGGATTGGCGGGCAGCTGCCGAGTCGACGCCGTTCCTCTTCCGCCGCTCAGGACTCCTTGGGTAAGCTTACACTTCTTTCCTTTCCAGGTAGTGCAAGGCATCCCACCTTCGTCGCCAGTGTTGCGTCCTTGGCGGGAAAACAGACACGAGAAGCAGCTGGAGTTCTCAGTTTCTTTTATTCAGCGTTCAGCTTACAGGAAGATGGCTTCAGCCTCGCCCAAACGCCTCGCAGCCTCTTATATAGGCAACTCCCGGGTAAATGGGTTACTTTTCCCGCGCCAGCACCCGCGCATGCGCACGGCGCTGGCGACAGCCTGTCTGGTCCCGGGCAGCTTTGCACCTGCCCGGGACTGCCTGCAAACGCCCGAGCCGTTTGCAAAGGCTCGGGACATAACAGTATTAACACTTCATGTGACCTTGATTCTATCCCTCTGTTGATGCAGCCTAGCACTGTGTTGGCTTTTTTGACAGCTGCAGCAAACGGCTGGCTCATATTTAAGTGATTGTCCACTAGGACTCCAAGATCCCTCTCACAGTTACTGCTATTGAGCCAGGTTTTACCTAATCTATACATGTACATTTGATTTTTCTTGCCTAAATATAGAACCTTATTTTTTCACCATTGAATTTCATTTGGTTAGATTGGGCCCAGTGTTGAAGTCTGTCGAGATTGATCTGGATTTTCAGCTTATCTTCTGGAGTGGTGACTATTCCTGCCAATTTAGTGTCGTCTGCAGATCTGATGAATTCCCATTCTATTCCCTCATCTAAGTCATTTATATTGAAAAGTACTGGGCCTGAAACAGAACTTTGGGGAACCCTCTGCTTACTTCCCTCTGTGTAGATGCAGTTCCAATGAGGATTGGTAAGTCCAAAGCATCATGAAAAGAAAGCAAAATTGCAATTGCAGGGGGGGGAAAAGACATCTCCTAGAAGAGAGCAATAATTAGCATTTTGGGGAAGATTCATCTGGGAGATTACTGTAAATATACTGTTTATATTATTTTTACGAGGGCAATTCGGAAATAAACCTCCGTTTGGTTATCAGTGACAGACACTCGCAGATACAGAATTTTTATTATACACATTAGAAAACTACGTTACATGACTTTTCGACATAATCACCATTCAAACTGAGGCACTTGTCATAATGCCTTACAAGGTTTGAAATTCCTTAGTAGTAGTCACTCAGCACCAAATCAGGACTATAGGAGGAATGATCAAAAGAACTGCTTCAAATGTTCTTGGGTGCATCTAGCAGTGTGCAGGCGAGCATTATTGTGAACCAACACCACACTGGAAGTCAGCATGCCCCGAGGTTTGTTATGGATGGCTCGTCTGAGTTTTCGTAACATTTCACAGTAGATATAAGAATGTGCCTCAACTAGGTCTCCCAAGAAAACAGAACTCTTGAAACAGGCATTGTTTCAAAAGGAACTTTTATTGAGAGTTACTGATAGCAGTAGAGAAAAGCAAGGTCTGAAGATTTTGCACGCAAATGATTACATCAAAAGGCTCATTCAAATCTCTAAACCCCCCCTCCCAGTGTTCAACCATCCATTTCAAATCCAGGCACTGGGTTGTTTTTGGAACCTAGTGGTTTAGTGCCCATCTCAAGGTCTCTCTCGTTTTCGTTTCACAATGATCCCAGGATCCATTGTTTGGAGATAAGGCAGATGTTTTCAGGCCACATTTCTTTTTCATGAATGGAGAGCATTTTAAAGAGCCAGGCAAATACATTCCCCAAGCAAGCAGCCCCCCTCCCACCAGAATGCCAGACTCCAAAAAGAAATCCACAGGCAAAGCAATAATAGGAAGGGAAATACATTGGAGGGGTCTGACAGTAGACTTCTGAATTGATGGTCGAACCACACTCCATGAACTTCACTGGCAGTACTCCTTTGGCATCTTCACATTTGGTGGAATTTTCTATGGCACCACTTCCAGTGTGGTGTTGGGTCACGATACAATGATTGCCCACACATTGCTAGGCACACTCAAGGACTTTTGAAGCGGTTCCGTTGGGATGTTTTTGATCATCCCTCCCCCCCATAACCCAGATTTGGCACTGAGCGACTACTACTAAGGAATTTCAAATCTTGTAAGACGTTATGACAGGTGCCTCAATTTGAATGGCGATTATGTCAAAAAGTAGTGTAATCTTCTAGTTTTCTAATGTGTATAATAAAAGTTCTGTATCTGCGAATGTCATTGATAACCAAATGGAGGTTTATTTCCCAGTTGCCCTCGTACATCTCTAACTTTCCTCTTTCTTTTCCACAGTCAAGGAAGCTGAACTAATGTCAACATGTTATGAAAATATGTTATATTTTTAAAAAGGATTATTCAAAGAGTGGTGAACACTCAAGGGGTTTTTTTTCTTGTTTCTCTTGCTTTTTGCAAATAACTAAAATTTGATTTTAAATGAGGTCAGATTAAGGGCTCAGTTAAAAGAGAGCAAGTAGAACTAGATAAATGACAAGAACATAGAGACCAGGCCAGTGCTGATGTTACTGACCTGTCAGTATTCAAAAGCCCATGTTGCAGAACGAGACTAGGTTGTATACATTTTTCTTTCGCAACAAAGAGGGCTGGAAACATGCTTTTTTTCAGACAAAATTTGGAGGAGACAAAGCCAGCTACTTGGATTCCCAGTCCCAGTATCCACAGCTGCTATTCAGACCTGGCATAGTGGATTAGCGAGGAATTGCACAGATCTCAAAGGAATGAGGATGCAGAGTGCCTCCCCAGATCACGTCAAGCTTTTGATCCGTCAGCCAAGTGGAAATTGAAGTTTGCACAAGATTGGTAAAGAAAAGGAACAACTCTGTTTTTGCCAAATTTTCTCCCAAACATGCTCGATGACCTAGGAAAGGAGAGGAAAACAACAAATCAGTACCAGCATGGCTGTCTTAGGAATTCTGGGAGTTGAAGTCCTCACAGCTGTCTCAAGAATACCTGGAAGTCCACAAATCATAAAAGGATTGGGCAACTTTGGCCCCTTTATGACCTGTGGACTTCAAGTCCCAGAATTCCTGAGCCAGCATGGCCGTCTTTGGAATTCTGGGAGTTCAAGTCCACAAGTCATAAAAGGGCCAAGTTTGAAGACCCCTGTCTTAAATCTCACATAATGGAGGCTGGCTGAGGAATTCTGGGAGTTGAAGTCCACAAGTCATAAAAGGGCCATCGTCCCTCACCCCTGGATTAGAGTTTACAATGTGCTTGGCCTGGAGTTGATCCACAATGTGTGTTAATTTGGCAACTCCACTGAACAGGCTACTGTTGCAAACCAGCTAAGACTAGGATATGGTATGCCTAGCAGTGAGCCCACCAGATACGTTTTTTTTAAGAAAAAAAAACCAAGATGGTGGCCACAGCTGTATGATCGAAGAATATACAAACTAGGTGGAGCTTTGATTGCATCTTCATGGCTGCCATCATGATTTTTTTGACTACAATCTACAGACATCCCTGTTGACAATCCACCACAAAATCGTTTTTTCTGATTTAAAACACTCTTGGTGCAGATTACTATTCACGAAAAGAATGTTGATGGTAGCTCTGTGTTTCAAGCTGCCCATAATCAGAAGATATGTCCATCATTAAATACATAAATATATATTTAGCATTTGAGGGGTGAAAACAGGAATGGTCAAGGCATATCATTAAAGATTCAATGGAATTTTAACAAGCTGAATGAGCACCTAGAGAAAATGGGATGAATGCTTCTCGACAGATAAAATTGCCTTCCTTGTCGAGGAAATGGTTTGGGTTGAAGGCGAGGGGTGTCTCCCACTCGTTGGCATCATACAAGGCAGAAGCCATGTTCGGGATAAAGATGGTGCCCTGTGGAAAAGAAGAGGAGCACTTAAGTTTTGCCTTTTGCCCTAAGGCAGGGATAGGCAGCCTTGGCTCTATTATGACTCGTGGACTTCAACTCCCAGAATTCCAGAGCCAGCCATGCTGAGGGGAAAGGGAGAGGTTTCCAAGCTGAGTCATGCTGGCTCAGGAATTCTGGGAGTTGAAGTCCACAAGTCATGAAGGGGCCAAGGTTGTCTACTCCTGGTTTAGGTCTGTATTTCTCAACCTTGGCCACTCGGAGATGGGTGGACTTCAACTCCCAGAATTCCTGAGCCAGCCATCTGAGGGGAAAGGGAGAGGTTTCCAAGCTGAGCCATGCTGGCTCAGGAATTCTGGGAGTTGAAGTCCCTGAGTCATAAAAGAGCCCAGGTTGCCTACCCCTGGGCTGAGGGAAGAAAAAAAATGGTTATATCTGCTGGTAACGGAGGCCGAAGTGACAAATTTCAATTCATAGCTTTAAAGATTACTCTTCTAAAAAAAATACAAATAGGTTAAGCAACAATTATTTTTAAAAAATTAAGAAAAGGTTCCTAATAAACCTAATTTTTGAAGCTGACTTTGGCTGATCTAAAAAAATGAAGCAGGTTGGATCTGATGGATGAGAAACCATCAGGAAATTTATCTGAGCTCAACCTCTGTGGAGATTCCCAGTCATCCAGGTCATGGTTGTCCCCAAAGTGCTTTTTCAAAAGGCAACTGGAGTTTGTTTTCCCTTGAAGACGTTTTGCTTCTTATCCAAGAAGCTTCTTCAGTTCTGAAGAAGAGGAGAAGCGAAATATCTTCAAGGAAAACCAATGACGTCCAGTTGCCTTTCGGACATCTGAGCTCAACCTTAGGCTGGGCAGTTGAAAAAAAATTATCCTGAGGGAAAGTAAAGCGGAATCATTTCTGATTTGTTGCCATAAAAATGATGTATATGTCTCTATGAAGTGACAGAAGCCGAGCTCAACTCAAAAGAGATCAAACATCTCTTTTTGCGGTGTGTGCGAAGAAAGAAAAGACTTTGTGTCCTTAAATGTTTGTGCTTCAGCATTAACACAGAATAACTCTAGTTTCAGACATGGATCGATGAGGACTAACTTGACAAGCTAGTTGAGAAATCAGGGTGAAGAACGGTCATTGGAAACAGACGCACTTCATAGTTAACCCCAAGGATGACAAAATATGGGTCACAATGTCACATCACAACCTCCTCCTTTGGAACTTTGGGCACATAAAGTACACTGTGCACTAGCTAACAAAATGAAATTCAGTGGTGAAAAAAGCAAGGTTGTACATTTAGGCAAGAAAAGCCAAATGCACAATCACCTAAATATGAGCCAGCAGTGTGCTGCAGCTGCCAAAAAGGCCAACACAGTGCAAGGCTGCATTAACAGAGGGATAGAATCAAGATCACGTGAAGTATTAATATTACTTTACAATGCCTTGGTAAGGCCATACTTGGAATACTGCATCCAGTTTTGGTTACCACGATGTAAAAAAGATGTTGAGACTGTAGAAAGAGTACAGAGAAGAGCAACAAAGATGATTAAGGGACTGGAGGCTAAAGCATATAAGGAAAGACTGCTGGAATTGGGTATGTCTAGTTTAATGAAGAGAAGGACGAGGGGGGACATGATAGCAGTATTCCAATATCTCAGGGGCTGCCCCAAAGAAGAGGGGGTCAAGCTCTTCTCTAAAGCGCCTGAAGGCAGGACAAGAAGCAACGGATGGAAACTCATCAAGGAGAGAAGCAACCTAGAACTAAGGAGAAATTTCCTGACAGTGAGAACAATTAATCAGTGGAACAACCTGCCTCCAGAAGCGGTAAATGCTCCAACACTGGAAGTTTTTAAGAAGAGATTGGACAGCCATTTGTCTGAAATGGTATAGGGTTTCCTGCCTGAGCAGGGGGTTGGACTAGATGACCTCCAAGGTCCCTTCCAACTTTACTACTACTACTACTACTACTACTACTACTACTACTGCTGCTGCTACTACTACTACTACTACTACTACTACTACTACTACTACTATTATTATTATTATTATTATCTTGTTCTCATTTTCTTTGCTCTGTAGAAGGGAAAAAGTGTGTCAGGAAATAGCTCACGTCACAATGCAAATGAACAGTGATAATTATTGCTACTATTAGTTGCTTGGGAATAGCAAGACCTTGTAGGTATGAAAAAAGGCCAATAAATTATCGCTGCTTTTTTTCCCCCTGTGTGCTTGACTTCTCTTGCATTGCTCCAGCTTTTGGTCATATTGAAGCCGACATTTCTGGAGAACACCAGCTGCGATTATGAATATATACAAGTACAGGTAGTCCTCTGTTAACAACCGTTTGTTCAGGAAGTGCTTAAAGTTGCAACAGTGCTGAACAAGGAGACGTATGGCTGATCCTCAAAGTTTCAACCATTACACTTCCCACAGTCAGCGCTGTCCTAGGCTGCATTGACGGAGAGATAAAATAAAATAAAATAAGATCACATGAAGTGTTAGTATCACTTTATAAGGCCTTGGTGAGACCACACTTGGAATAGTGCATCCAGTTTTGGATGCACGATATAAAAAAGTTGTTGAGGTTCTGGAAAGAGTGCAGAGAAGAGCAACAAAGAGAATTAGGGGACTGGAGGCTAAAACATATAAAGAACGGTGGCAGGAATTGGATATGTAGTTTCATGCGAAGGACTAGGGGTGACATAATAGCTGTGTTCCAATATCTGAGGGATCATCACAAAGAAGAGGGAGTCAGGCTATTTCTCAAAGCCCCTGAAGGCAAGTCAAGAAGCAACAGATGGAAACTAACCAAGGAGAGAACCAAACTAGAACTAAGGAGAAATTTCCTGATAATTAGAACAATTAACCAGTGGAACAACTAATCATGATTCATATGTTTGGCAACCGGCTTGCAATTACAATGGTCCTGCCATTTGCAACTTTCACTGCTGGCTTCTAACAAGCATGATCATGTCACGTTGTCCAATTAGAGGAGAAATCATTGTTATGAGAAATTGTCTCTGGGTCTGGCCAGACATCTGGTGAACCGTCCTTGGTTCTCACAGGCTGCTTTCTTAATCTTTGAAGTCTGCATTCCAATCCTTTTCTCTCCCTCCGAGTTCATTGGCAAGGTGAGAAGCAATAATTGCTGCAACAGCAAATACTGTCCTTTGAAACTTAACACAAAGTCAGTAGGAAAGTTGACAGGATGTCACAAATGGCAATTGTGTGATATTGCACCTAACGGCTGCGTAGAATTCACCTAAAGAGCACTACAGGAGCTGCCTGAACCACCATTGTAAGTTGATGTGGTCACATGACATCGCACTTAACAACAGAGTTCTCAGTCCAATTACCGTCATTAACTGATGACTCCCTGTATTGCATGTGCTTCCTTTAGCAATATGGTGAGGAGAAGAAAAGAAGGTTCCAGAACACAAGAATTCATTTACCTTTCTTAGGTGAAACTTCTGGATCATCGTATCTCTTATGCAGTATCTGGGCACTCTGATCGAGACGATGTTGCTAAAGCGCTGGATTTCATGCACCATCGCATTTGTGTACATTTGTGTATGCGATTCTCATAACAGATCGACTGGCCCGGTGGTAGAAGGGTATCAATTTCCTTTTGAACTTTGGCTGGGGAGAAACAAAGATTTTGCATATTGACTAGAGTTAGGAGTGAATAAGCATCGAGGTGTGGCCTCAGCTCTCCGTGGTCTATTAATGGCAGAAGCTCAGCCCAGGAGGAGGGAATTATCTAGACCAGGGATGTCCAACCTTGGCATCTTTACGTTTTGTGGACTTCAACTCCCAGAATTTCCCCACCAGCCATACTGGCTAGGAATTCTGGGAGTTGAAGTCTACAAGTCTTAAAGTTGCCAAGGTTGGACACCCCTGAAGGATCGTCTTTTTTCAAATGTTTCTACCCGTCCAACTAGGCCAGTGGTTCTCAACCTTTTTAATGCCACGACCCCCAACCGGTCGTAAGTCGAGGACTACTCAACCGGTCGTAAGTTGTGGACTACTCAACTGGTGCAGCACCATTTGCAGAAGGGGACTTTTGGCGGGCTCAGCAGGGCAGAGACAGCCTGGACCATTCCTATTGGCTTTGGAAAGCCAATAGAATTAGACTCTATTCAAGAGAGTCTATTCTATTGGCTTTCAAAAGCCAATAGAATAAAAGGGAGTAGCACAGCTAAGGAAAAGGGGAAAAAAATGGTGAACTGCATTGTTTGGTGACCCCCGTGAAATGGTCGTTCGACCCCAAATGGGGTCCCGACCCACAGGTCGAGAACCACTGAACTAGGCCAAGCAGAATGGGCATGCTGCAGATACCATCAGCCAGAATTATATAGAATGAGTTAGAAGGGACCTTGTCGTTCATCTTCTAGTCCAACCCCCTGCTCAAGGAGGAGACACTACACCATTTCTGACAAGTCCAGTCTCTTCTTGAAAACTACTGGTGATAAAGCCCCTATAAGTTCTGAAGGCAAGCTGTTCCATTGGTTGATTGTTCTCATTGTCAGAAAATTTCTCCTTATTTCTAGGTTCAATCTCTCCTTGATCAGTTCCCATCCATTGTTCCTTGTCTGGCCTTCAGGTGCTTTGGAAAATAGATTGACCCCCATAGTCTGCTTCTTGGTGCTTCTGTAGTTGTTGTATTCATTTCTCCATTCTTGTTCTGCAGACAAAAAACCAACCCAAATCACCTTATGATGAAAAGACCCTGGTTCAGAACATTTTTGATCTCTTTGTGGGAGGAACAGAGACACCGGGCACCACTCTCTACTGGGCACTTCTCTGTGACAGCACCTCACTTATTGGAACACTGCTATCATGTCTCCCCTGGTCCTTCTCTTCACTAAACTAGCCATGCCCAGTTCTTGTAACCATTCTTCATATGTTTTAGCCTGTAGTCCCCTAATCATCTTTGTTGCTCTTCTCTGCACTGATGATTCTTTTCTCACCTTGAATGTCAGGATAAAGCACCATATACACCGAGTACCAAACATAACAATTATCCTTTACACCACACCAGACATGTGATCACACTTTGGGAGCTCAGCAATTAGGCCACATCAGCATCCCACATGGCCTTTTACGATGTTTTTGCTAAAAAAAAAACCCCAGCATTTACTTCTATTTTTTGGGCAAAATCATGCCCAAATTGAACCATTGCTTTGCTTAATGTTGCTAGCGTTTGCTTTAATGATGGTGGAATTGGTTAATGATTGCCACAAAAAATAGTGTAAAATCGTGTGGCCGACCCGTTTTATAACTAACACAAGTTATGACCATGATGGGTCAGCACCATTCTGGTCGTAACTGTTAGGATCCTTACCGGAACCGCGAGGAGCCGCGAGGCACGAAGAACACAAAGACGCTTCTTACTTGGGTACAACGGTTTAATCAGCGCTGTTCAAATACATTTTCAGCTTCACCCCACCCTTCACCCAATTATCCACTAATTACAACCTCACCTAGTGATTTCCAATCCCACCCATTCACCCTCCTAGACCTCGCCTACTACCACCCAACCAGCACTCTCCCCCACTTAATGGTTACTCTCTTCCGTCTTTTCTCCATGAACACCCTAAAGTCCTCCTGCAACACTCTGAAATCTTTGGCTTCCTCCTGTCAGCTGAGTGTCAGATAGCCGCCAAACAGCTGCTTGGCAGTTCAAAATTCTTCTGCGCATGCACTTCCTTCGTTTGTCACAGGCAAAGCGTCTCAGCTCTTTAGAACTGCCCGTTCCTCTTTACTGGCAGGACGCCCGTCGGAGGATCTCCGGCTTGTATTCCCAAGACAGTAAGCCTTGACTTCATGCTGGTTCCCCCCTCTTCATGTGTCAAGCCCAGAAGGGCTTGACATGCAGCCCCCCTACCAGGTGTCCTCCTGGAAGTGGGTAAAACATATAGTTAGCTGGGTGTTGTGGCTGGTGGTATACCTCCCCTTCCCCCTGACTTATTGGGATACTTGCGATGGTATCTACATATTAACCGAGGGACATTCACATCTGCCTCCCCTACTCATGATGCCTCAGACACTGGGTAGCCCCTCCACTGCACTAGGTATTGCAATCGAGTCTGCCTATACCGTGAATCAAGTATCTTTCGTATTTCATAATGACTCCCTATTATCGGACCCTGAGGTTGTTGTGCCTGCCTAAATGATGGTTTCGTTACCGGTTTTAGTAAACTGCTATGGAAGACCGGCTACACTTTACCAAGGTTGCAAGGGAGTTGTAGTCGTACAGTTACTGATTGATGACTCGTTCAATTTTGAATGGCCTGATATATTTTGGACTCAACTTTTTACATGGTCTACGTAATTTTAAATATTTTGTGGATAGGTAGACTTTGTCGCCAATCTGGAACGGTTTTTGTGGATTCCGTTTCTTGTCTGCTTGTCTTTTTGAAGTCTGTTCTGTTTTTACCAATGCTTTCTTTACTGTTTTCCATATATCTTTGAACTGAAGCATCCATTCGTGGGGTTGGTGTGGTCTATTATCCTCCTGAGGGCATTCGGGTATAGGAACGAATTCCATTCCATGTACGACTTGGAAGGGAGTAAACCCAGTGCTACTATGGACGGTGTTATTATATGCCATCTCAGCAAACGGTATCAACTCCGCCCAATTCATCTGTTGGTAATTGACGTAACACCGTAGGTACCGTTCGATCATGCCATTGGCGCGTTCAGCTGCTCCATTGGTGCTGGGATGAAATGCAGAACTAAGACCTTGTGAAGAGCCAATTGATGTGATGAACTCCTTCCAGAACCTAGCAGTGAACTGTACACCCCTATCAGATATTATACGTCGGGGTACTCCATGTAGCCTGTAAACATGGGTTATAAATAATTTGGCTAGTCGCCGAAGGTAACCCCTTGCAGGGTATAAAGCGTGCTTGTTTGGAGAATAAATCTATTACTGTCCATATGACGGTATTTCCATGACTTGCTGGTAAATCAACTATGAAATCCATACCGATTTTTTCCCATGGACATGAGGGGTCTGATACTTGTTGTAGTAAACCAGATGGCCTTCCTACTTGGGGTTTTGTCGTGGCACAGACGGAACATTCTCAAACATAAATTTCTACGTCTTTTTTCATACCTGGCCACCAGAATTGCCTTTTTACCAGGTGTAGAGTTTTCAGGAATCCATAATGACCAGCCATCTTCACATCATGGCCTCTCCGAAGCACCTCTACCCGTACAGATGATGGGACATATATCCTACTACCCTTCCATACTAATTCATCTCTCATAGTCAAAACATGGGGATGGGCTATTAACCAAGGATCCGCTATAAGTGCGCCTTGTAAATTATGTACCAGGTCTTCCATAGGCCGTATTATCGCAGTTATATCTTTTGATTGTTCAGGGGAAGGTATTAGGGCTTGTACCACCTCCTCCCGTTTGCTGTTATATTGAGGTTTTCGTGACAACACATCTGCAAGGAAATTCCTCCCCCTGGTACGTATTTCAATCAGAAGTGGAACCGCTGAAAATACAATGCCCACCGTACATGTTTTGGCGCTAATCGCCAAGGGGTTTGTAATGCTTCAAGGTTTTTGTGGTCTGTCCACATCTTGAAAACCTCTTTTGCTCCCTCTAAAAAATGGCGCCATGTGCTTAATGCCCACTTCACAGCAAACGCCTCCTTCTCCCAAACCGCCCACCTACATTCGGCAGTTGTAAACTTACGTGAGGTGAACGCACATGGTTATAATGTCCCCTTTTCACTTCTTTGTAAGAGCATCGCTCCTACTGCCACATCACTAGCATCTGTCTGCACTATGAAGGGGTCCTCTGGATTTGGATGTCTTAGAATTGGTTCCCTTGAAAATAACACTTTTAAAGCTTCAAATGCCTTTTGGCATTGCAGTGACCAGGGTAACAGTTGGTGTGGTTGTGGTTTGTTGCCCGTCAATTTAGTATGAAGTAACTCAGTTAAACACAAAGCTATCTCAGCAAAAGATGGGACAAATTGCCTATAAAAATTTGCAAAACCGAGAAAGCTTTGCAACTGACGTCGTGTTCATGGTGCTTGCCAATCTAGTACAGCCTGTACTTTTGCAGGATCCATTTCCACACCCTCTCCAGATATCCTGTACCCAAGATAGTCCAATTTGGCTTGATGGAAAGCGCATTTTGATAATCTTACGTATAACCGAGCCTTGAGAAGTTTTTGTAGCACTTGCTGCACTAATTGTACATGATCTTCTTCGTTTGCAAAATAAATGAGAATGTCATCCAGGTACACAAGGACTCCTTTGTACAGATGTTCATGCAACACCTCATTTATAAGCTACATGAACACAGCAGGAGCCCCCTTTACCCAAATGGCATTACTTTATACTGGAAACTCCCTAATGGACTATTAAATGTGGTCTTCCATTCATCCCCTTTTTTTAATACGTACTCTATAATAGGCTTCCACAAATCAAGTTTGGTAAATATTTACCCTTGAGTTAAATGGGCCAAGAGGTCCTCATAAGGGAAAGGGGATATAACTTTTCTACACATATCCCATTCAGGCCCC